GAATTTTAATCTGTAAACAATTTTTGTTAATATTGAAATGCGTTTCTTTGGGTACATTTTAGGCACTTGTGGATCATGTCAGACAGGCATAGAAAAAAAGATGTCCGTGTGCATAAATTTTCCCATTGTTTACTTCATTTTATCAATTTCAAGATAATTCTTTTCATTTTATATGGCATGTTATCAGTATAAAGGCTAGTGAAAATAAATTGGGTGTATCTGTTTCGAAGTGTAATGCTTAAATAAAAAGATGGTGTGTGTTTTCTTTAACAAAATTTCAAGGATAGTATTTCAGTGTTGTAACGGTTTGTTTATTTCTCAATGTAAAGGTAACAAGGGGAAAAAAACTGGTATGGTATATCTGTTTTTTAAGCATGAAATTTTATTTATTTCTTAGTGATGCATATATATATAGAGAGAGAAGGTTTGGTCCAACTGAAGTTATATAAATCTAATTTTTATAGATCTCTCCCTCCCCTCAGGTGTAGAAAATTTCAAGTGCAGAAAGTTTATTTGCAGAAAATTCATTTCTGATAAATTTTTATCATTAATTTTTTATATAACATGTTATTAGTTACACATTTGACTACTGTGTAATAAATTGTATTTAGGGCAAAAAATTAATAATTTTGCATCTGTGACTAATATCATATGCTTCTAAGAATATTACTTTAACTTTTTCCTAATTTTTGTATTCAGGAACATGAAACTGTATTTTGATATACTTAAATAATAAAAGTGTGTATCTGAATCAATTAAGGATACAAATATTTTACAGTTATTTTTAGAAGATATTTGCCATATCGCTTCTAATAATTCATAAAGTATGTTAAAATATAGGTAATAATTTGGTGCAGAATTCAAATTTAGGGTTTAAAAATCGTGAATCATAAGACTAAATGATTTTATTGTCATGATTGCCTGGGCTTAAGAATGTATTTTCGCCCGGTGGAAATTTGTCATCAAACTGTTCCTGAACAGGCTTTTTGTAATAACTTCCAGGCTTATCAGTACCCTCCTTTGAGTGGAGGGTATGCAAATATAGTACCCATTTAAATACATTGTGATTGTAATAATATTGTGGTATTAAATAAGTGATTATAATTACAATTTAGGTAATTGCATTGTAATTATATTACATTGTATCTGTGAACTCTAATTTCATTACTTTGCAATTATGTTGTAAGTGCATAATCTAATTGCAATAATATTCACAATTCCAAAATAATTATAAATGCAGTTACATCTTAATAGAGGCCATTTTAATACTTTTAAATTTTCGCAAGATAACTTCCCATTAAGGTTCATTTGGAGGAAACTATGCAAATATAAAAAGAAGTATGTTAAATTTACATATTTGTACGTACTTTCTTGTTATAATGCTTTCAATATATCTTCATACTTTTGTAAATTTAACGCATTCTTTGCAATCACTGTGGGCTTTAAACAGAAGTTTCTTAGTTATGCTTTCTAATAAGAAGGGTTTAAAATTAAGTATTATGTATAATAACTAGCAGTTAAAAAAACTTGACTGCATGAAAATGCTGTTGCTGTGTAAAAAAAATAAGCTTTCTTATGCTTTGAAATGAATTACATGTGGTTAAGGTCCTTTTACAATTTAAGAATGTGTTAACACACATTCTTAAATTGGCAGGTTTATCTAAATTAGTATAAAATATATAAACTATGAATTATTTTGTAACATAATCAAATTAACAAAATTCATTCTATATACGTTCAAATTATTATCTTTATGGAATAACTTTTTTTAATTTAGGTAAAAATTGGATTTTTAGAAGTATACAAATACAATGCAACACAAAGGTGGTGAGAGGAAGGACTTTTTATTACGTTTCTAGTTCGTATTTTATTTGGAATCATCCAAAACACAGAATGCTGTACTTTCTTCTTCCATATATGTATGAAATTTCACACATTTAAAAAAGTGTTTCTTCAGAGTCTTGCAAAATTATTTCCATATACCTCAGACTAAATGCATATTCTTAGTTTTTTAGTATGATTTACGTTTTTTATGGAAATTTTTTAAAATGTCATTAAGATAAAATTTGCCACTCTACGCTTTAACTTTCCCCCCAGACACTATTGAAAGTTTTATTCATATCTTATTATTATAGTCTGCTAAAACTGAAACATCTAAAGAATAAGTTATTTGAATATTTACAAAATATACCGAAATTTTTATTTAGTGAAAACGTCTATATACTCTTCGAGAATAATAAATATCCGAAAAGTTTATATGCGCTGAATGCCGCGCGTCTATAAACTAATCTTTAAAAAACAAGCAGACATTCAGCCAGTGTGCGATAAACGCGCATTATGCTGTTTTTAAAGAGAAATTGAACAAAGTAATTAACCATGTATCCCTGAGTAAGCTGTTTCGCAGACTTTTGAGGCATGTCATGAAAATGGTCTTTGCGACCAAGAATCGACTTTAACTTTTTTGAGTAAAAGATTGAGACACTACTTTTTGGAAGGTCTACCCTACGACGTCGGACTTACTAACAGTAAAAATGCTAAAACGACTGGTTGCGCAGAGACCATCTGCGCATGAACATGCCTCCAATGTGCCATGCGAATCGAGCGCCATTTTGTTCTCGAACGTGGTGGGATGGTGTAGTGGTGAGTATACGAGTGATATCTATTGTTCCAAATTTTAAGTTGAAATTCAAATAAATTAAAATTCTAATGCTTTTTCCACTTAAATGAATAGTCTTTTTTTAATTTAATTGTCTTTTTGATTAATTTTAATCATTATTTTTTTCTTGCACAGACCGCAATTATAGGCATAATTCGTTTTCTGCTGAATGTATAGGTAAGAATTATTTTTGATTTTGTAAATATTTAATTAACTTTGAATACAAAATTATTTATGAATTGTATATAGTTTATTGGTTTGTGTGTGCAGTTAAAAGGAAGAAAAAAAATTCGTGTCATTTATGTACTTATTCACCCATTTTTCTTATTAAATACTGCGAAATGTAATATATTCTTGTATTTCTGTGTTCTTTTGAACAAATATACTCATTTTTTCATGTTCTCTTTGATATCGTATTAATAGTAATGTTAAATATCTGGCTGAGCAAATATTTTGGTTATCTGCGCTCAACTTTCCAGACGTTATTGGAAATCAGCTTTAATAATGCATCTAGTTGAACATGCTTAGCCAGAAACATTAACATATTAACTTCAGCCGAGCTAGAGCGTGTAATATTAATACCAAAAGCCTAACATTCTATGTACACTTATTGTAAGCAATTCTAGTATTATTCTGTTATTTGTAGCGAAATTAAAAATTGCAGCAAGAAGCAGTAGCTTTTGCTGTGATGGTTGTTTTGTTATTAAGCCCAGTTAATGTTCTCTTGCCTGTATGCAGCGTGGTGTGGGTGTGATATGGCTATTCTCATTCTTGATTGTAAGGTAAAATTTATAATCCATTATTTGCTTAAATGAATAGGTTTTCAATTGTAATTATTTATGTTAATTCATTTTTTTTAAAGCAAACTGGTGATTGCGATCTTTTTTCCCTGAATTTCTGCATGTATAGGTTAGTAAAAACTATATTTGTAATTATTTAATTTCGGTACAAAATGTGTATTAAATGTATATAATTTGTGTGTATTATTAAATTTCAGAATGTAGTTGCAGATTAAATAATTACATGGTTCTGCTCGATTCAGGGTAAGAAATGAATATGGTGTACTTCAAAGGTATTCTTTCAATGCTGTGCGCATAACTCTATTTTCTTATTCAAACGTAATTGTATGGTGTGGCAGTGATATTGATGTGCCTTTTTTTTTTTTTTTTTTTTTTTGTTGCTGCTTATGTACTTATTTACACAAATTTCTTATTACATTCTGTGAACAAATTTATAATTTTGTTGTTGTTATTGGATGAGCATTGGTGCTAAATGTCTAGCTGAACAAATTAATATTTTTCTTAATATCAGCAAATATTTCAGTTATGTGTTCATTTGGCAGGCAGCATTTACTGCAAACCAGTTTTAATGTTGCTTCTACTTAACCAGAAACATTAACATCGAAGTTGAGCCAAAGTATGTTTTGCCAAGAAGCTAATGTGTGCTATTTTTTATGAGATTCTGGCCATGTCTAACCATATGCTTTTGCAGTGCCTTTCTTATTTTTTTGTCTGCCATGGTCCATATGATTTGTTTTTAGGATTACAGTATTTTTAAATTGTTAAACTTGTACTCATCTTCAAACATGTCTTTTCACAACAGCAATATGGTAAAACTAGATATTACGGTCCAGATTGGCGTGTTTTAGAAAATCGCTAACTCATCATATCGCCGGTTACAAATTTGAATTAATTCTGTAAACATGCAAAAATATCTAAAACAGGACTTCAAGAAAAACAATGAAGAATCACCCACTGCTTGGTGCATTTTTAAGAATTACACATCCTCGGTATCCATGTACACATCGACCAATTTTTTACTTGAAGAAACATCTTAGAATTGCACAACTGCAGAGTCGTAGGCGAGAAGTTGAGTATGCAGCTGAAATCATAGAATGAATGTCAGTTTGTGTTTGCTTCACTGTGTTTCAACAGTTCTTGTGTTAAGTTGGCATTAAGGTAAAAAAATTACAAGAAGAAAGGATTTTGTCAATGTAGGAAAGCTCGTTCTGTATGTATGTATTAAATGGGCATTTATGCATCATCAGCCACAGAAAAAAAAAAAATCCCTATTCTGTTTTGACATTCAAAGTTAAAATATGCATCAGATGATTGTATAGTTCATTAATGCCATATATTTTGTTAATTTCACAAAACTGGATCAAATTATTTCGTAACAGTAGTATATAAATTTCATAAAGTTGCCAGCTGGAATGTCCTCTGGAGCAGGATTTTTAATTTTCTTTTCTGTTTCAAGGGCAAACTTGCTAGCAAATTCCAATCTGTGTAATTATGTCATATATTAACCCATTAAATGCTGTGGTGCTCATTTGGTTATCATAAACAGTCAAAAGTCTTTAATTTGGACTCTTCGGCGATTTCGGATTATCGTTTTTTTTTTTTTTGTATTATAGCTCATCAGTTTAAATCTTTTAAGATGGCATGCAGAAATTATAAAATTAAAAATATGAAATAAAGAGCAATTATGATCTAAAGGGTATCAAAATTTACAAAAAAAAGTTTAATATTTATTTGTTTACTTTATTAAACTTTTCTTTCAACGTGCGCATGTGTAAAGCATACATTACGCATAGTTGAAATTAGAAAATTGCAACCAGAAAACTATTTCATGTGTATTCGTGATATTTATAATGATGAATTTGATTTAAATCATATCAAAGACGGAGTACATCGAGATGAAATACTGCATTTAGTGAGGAATTATAAGCCGAATAAAATAAAAACATCTGCCCTGAAGATGAGGATAGTGCTGACAGATCAACTTCCAGTTCATTGTGCGCTGCAACGTACCCCCCCCCTCTCCCGCAGAGCAGCGCGAAATTGATAAACAGATTTCGGAATGGTTAGAGAAACAAATCACCTCTCTGTCACTTTCTTCATGCCTTTAACCATTTTTTGCAGCAATTCCACTTTTTGTTTGATGGACATCAAAACATGCTTTCGCTTGTAAATCCTTTGATATCTCCAGAATCGGAAACTCTTTTTGACATAATCGAAAGTTCAAGCTTACTTTTTATAAAATTGCTCTAACAGTCTGCAAAAAAAAAATAAGCCGAATCCAATTAGAAGAATAAGGAACAACGCGATCTGCAACATTAACTGAAATAGATAATTTTAGCTTAGCTTATACCGTCCATTATACATTAAACGCATATGCGCATGCGTTTAAGCATGTGCAGAAAGTTTGTAGCTTTGAGGTCCGGATTATAGATCATTCCGGATTAAAGACTTTTGACTGTACTTTAAGCCACCTAGTAACACCATCTAGCTATCTCGGAGGGAAAAAAAGGCAACATTCAACTCATCCACTGAATGTCATTTGTAGAAAACCTAAAGTGATCACTACCTATACGCTCTTATGCTGAGCTCATGTTCATTTCCACATTCCACTCTCCTCTTATCACAAAAGCGAAACATGTGTTTTGAAAACGGATTAGACATAGTGGATTGAGGCTAATTTTGGTCATTGTGATTTTACTATATTATTAGTGAGTGTTGATTAAAGCGGTTATTTACTTCTAGCAACAGTCCCTGCTAGACGGGACTTTCCTGAGAAACAAGATTTTTGGTAGCACTGGTTTAAATGGGAGGATTCTTAGAAAAAAAAAGAATCCCACCTAGCTACAGAAACAATGTAGCGGCTATGTGATATTTCTTCAAACCTCGCCAAAAATGTCTCAGCTGAAACTCTGTCCCGGGTAGAAATGAACCAATCAGATGAAAGTTCTGCTTCTGAAGGATCACGTGGTCCCAATCTGAGCGATAATCGATTATTGTTTGGCGTTGTCTTTGTAGTAAGTGAAAATGGTAACCTAGCTACATGGGTTTCCTGGAAATGTGCGGGTTCTGAGAATTGCCCCTTTCGTCATCCAGTTCGGCATAGCCGAAAGATAATGTAATTTTAAAAATTAGATAATGCTTTTTTTTTTTTTTTTTTTTTTGGTCAGTGTAATTTGTATAGATGATGGACACAAATTCATAAAGCCGCATTTGGAGATTACAGTTGATACTGAGTAGAATTTCAACAAGCATTTTATGATTGCATTGTACAAGAAAAGGCTTGAGAAAAGCTTTGAAAGAATTTAAAGATAATATGGGATTCCCAGAACCTCTGTAATTCTGCCTTTGAAGATGATGGCAATGATTTTATAAACGTGGAGCTTCCTCCACAGCAGGTTGATGGAGTTTTCTGATGATGGACTAGAGGCAGAATGAGGCATTGCTAGGAGTGACAAGTGTTATTTAAGATTCTGTGCTTAGCAATGAATCATTACGGGCATTTCAATAGAGATTAAAAATTGTCTTCAGTTAGTCATTTATCTTCAGTAACATACGAGAGGATGCTGAGCAGGCACTGGATGCTGTAGACACACTAATGTTTGTGAAAAATGCAACACCATGAAGGAATTGTCGGAAATGAATGAAATTTATTCCGCATATTACCAATAGTGATACAAGTAAACGATCATATTTACAAACAAAAAAAAAAAAAACGAAAGTTGGAAAATCAGTACTTTGGGTTTCTGTCATGCTGAGCGAGAGCCTGTACACATCGTGGCATTGAATCGTATAGGTTCTGAATGTAATCCTGGGGAATGGCTTTGACTTGACGTGAAAGTTCAGTTTCAGTGTGTGGCCCACTAGCTGTACGTGCGAGTCGCTGACCGATGAAATCCTAGGCATGCTGATTGAGCAACATATCTGGGGAAGATGCAAAACCTGTTGTACCTTAAAGAAGGCTTGTGCACAGGCATTTTTTTTTTCCCCTAAAATATAGTGCCTGGAATGCATCAAATAATGCATACTCTGTCATCATTATACTCCAGATTGTAGTAAGATTTGTTGGAGAAAGCAACTTGTTGCCACAGAGCACGCCACGCACTGAGTTGCAGTGCTCACTGAAGTCGGAGGCATATGTTACTCAGCGACAGGGCAATCCTGCGTAGAGGAACCCTTGCATGTAGTTCATGTTGCAGCAGACAGCGACGAACACTTGTAACCGTGCTCCAATATTGTACTAACATACGAGAGGATGCTCTACAATCCATCACAGCCATGCAGATGAGGTGTTTGTCGTCCTGTGCTGTTGTGTGCCCCATTGCCAGGATTTCACCTTGTTTGGTTCTCGCTGTCCATTTCTTCCAAACATGCATCACTGTTGTGGCATTGTGCTGCGTGCGGGCTGTGATTGTTTGATATGAAAGTCCACCCTCTTGCATACAGACGATGTGGCCTCGTTCAAACTTGTTGGTATGGCATCCTCCGCTGTTGACGAGGCATACTGAGCACAAATTAAATGTTCACTGCAGACGGAGGATGGAGGATGATAAACAGATTTCAGCACAACTTTACAGTCCTTTACAACTGCCAGTTCTCATTTCATGCATGCATAATCCCTTTGTAATTCTAATCATTTGTATGTCTTAACTCACTTTACATTTCATGTAAGTTTGGTTCAAAGTGCATAATTCCTTCATGGTTGTGATTTTCACAAACATTAGTGTATATTAGGTAGTCCTAACTAAAAAAGCATCTTGAAATAAAAGTATGCAGTTGTCCAGATCAAATGTTTATTTTACAGAAAAATATAAACAGCTTATGCATACATGCATTGTTTTTATAGGATTCTGATCATACCTGAATAATAATTTTTCACTAAGTTGTATTTTACAATAATTCTTTCAAATAAGTAACAGTTACTTATCCATTATTTTAATTAAAAGAATTTTGTATATATTTTTTGTTCTTATCAACTAATGAAAGGGATGTATATGTATTAATTTTATAAAATTCATGTGAATGTATGCAAATAAATTGTTTATAAATGTCACATAAGTTTATACCTCCTTAAACCATTTTCATGTGAAACAGAAGCCTTATTCATAACAATATAATCAAACATACCAAGGTATAATTTTATTAAGACCCTGAGTTACATCAGTATGAACTTATGATGGAACTATTGGAACAATACTCATCATGAGTTGAGGATTACTTATAATTTGTCAGTAGGCATGTATGAAAATGGGTTTTGTAATTAATATTGAATGTATAACTTTTTCTTTTCATATAAATACAGAAGGATTTCATGTCTGCAGATAATGTATTACAAGAGGCTGTTGTGTGCCAGTGGACAAGCTGGTGAGAAGCTGAACACTAATAGCTTGAATCCTGGTGAATGGACTGCCTGCATAAGCGTCGTCATGATTTTTCCACGTGTAATATGAATGCAAGCCAGTTTGCCTTAAAGCATCCCTTCTTGGAAAATATCTTCTAATGTTTCATCACAAAAATCAGTCAAAAACTGTTTCTCATGATTTGAAAAATACGTATAAAGGAAGTCAAATTTAATTGATAAATTGTGCATGCTGAGATTGTATACTATATCATATACATTTTTAATATATTTTCTGTATCTCTAATGTTGAGAATTTTGATGTTTTAATTTAACCCTGAATAAAATGTTAAGTACTATAAGCAAAGTAAGCAGTATTGTATTTGATGTCAGAACAATATTTTTTTATTTTATACTTGTATATTTTTGCTTATGATTGGAATTTTAGTACAAATTATTTTGGCATGATGTGGCCTGTTCTCATTTAAAATGCATTTTGTATTTTTTTTTCTTCTGTTATTTGCATTATAATAGTTTGGCCATAACAACTATGGATGCCAAATCAACATGTATGGGAATAACTGTATTAAATTTTGAGAAAACCTTTAGGTGTCATTTATTATAAAGGTTGAGATGATTGTTTTTATAAATTCATTCATTCTTATCTATTTAAGAATTATCATTTAACATAAAAATATGAAAAAGAATAATATATTATAATACTAAATAAAAATATACTTTATATATATATATATATCCAAGCTCACTATATGCACACTCAAAGAGATACATTTCTTTTTTGTGATGTATGTGATGATAATTTACTGTTAAGTATCTTAAGTTGTTCATAAATAGTGCTCATTTTTCATAATGCACCAAACAAACCTCACATAATTAATTTAATATAATATTATTGCAGAGACATATTTTTGAAATTGACATTAGTCCTCTATCCGTCCGTCCCATAGGGATAACTATGGGCCAGCTTCTGGGCAGATTCCTACTGTCATCTACAATATGCCCAAGCCCTTCGCCAATGACAGTTGCTTCTCATTACCCGTATTTTACAATTAAATTCATGAATCTGATCTGGCTGAGTTTCATATCAGGGGAATTAAAAAAGCAAAATACATTCATTACCTAAAACCATTTTTCTCCAACTAGCTGGATGATTATGTGATTGGTGTGCATGGATGGTAATGTGAAAGGATGTGATTAGATTTCTTCTAGGTCATAACAGTTTTTAATAATGAAAAGCTCTTGTTCTTTTTTCTTTAAATTCTTGTTTTTTTTTTTTTTTTTTTTTTTTTATTTCAATGCACACTTTTTTAAAAGCAAACTGAATTAGCTGGATGATCACTACAAGTTTCTTGACATATTTAAAAGTAAAATATTGCATCTACATTCATTTTGAATAAATTGTTATTACTATAGTCTGCAATCATTGAGTTCATTTTAAGATTATTTGTCCTTTTTTTGTTTGTGGAATAGGAGGCTGTATTTTTTAGATTTTCTGTTTATTTAGCCAGTTTTCTATATAATGGCTAACATAAAATATAATTTATGTTAGCCATTATATAGAAATTTATGTGCCCTGTTTTAAAAATTATGTATATCTTAATTTAAGTTTGTCTCATGTCAGATGAACAATGCTGCTAGTCTGGTTGAGAAATTAAGAAAGTCTGACCATTCCATGAAAAATCTTTTAGAACAGCTCACTGATTAAAATACATATACACACCAATTAACTGTGCTCATCAAAAGTGCTGTATTATTTAATGCTTCTTCTGATGAGCAAAATTCAAAGCATTATTTCTCTTGTTTTCTGTGTATGAAGTTTGTAGCAAAATGGAATTATTATTTTTTTTAAATTTCATTCACTGATATCACTATTTTTATATGTCTGATAATGATCTACTGCATAAGTAATATCTATATGCAAACATAAACCAAAATCTTGCTTTAGAAGAATTCCACCGGTTTCGGTTCTCGAATAGATAAGACCACAGAATACTGGTGATACAATTTAGGTTTGAATTCTATCAAATGGGTTAGCTACATCTCTGTTTTTACAGTTTTCCCTATGTTTAATACGAATACAAGTCAGTTTCATTCAAAAAGTGCTCAAAGAAGGGCATCTCTTCTTTTAAGCAGATAGCCCTCAGGACCTTTGCCATAAAAATTCAACAGCTGAGAGCATGTACTAAAAGATAACATAGTATACAAATGTCCATTTTATAACTTTCAAATGAAGTGGTCGATTTAAATTTAACATCTGGTGCTATAGCAATATATGTGACTTGGGTAAACAGCCAGTTGATATGGTCTAAGGAACAGGGTTTTTAATTTTATTTTCTTTTCGTATAGCAAACTAGCTTGCCTATGCATATATGCAAGTCTAATTTATTTTTTACAAAAGATTCATATTAAAATACATACACATATGACAAAGAAATGTATGCACATAAGCTATAACTAATAAATCAATTGAGCAATATGTGAACATAGATGCTAATGGTTCAAGTGTCGTGTAGCAGGGTATGACTGCAAACCCTATAGTGGTGCTGCAAACAAAAATTAGTGTCTGATTCAAAGCAGGCATAAAAACTAGTATACAGTTTGTCCCCATATGACACAAAACAAAAAGTATGTAATCAGAAAAAATATCATGTAGACATTGATTTACCCAACTTATAAGCTTCGGTAAAGGCCTTATCATTCGCCTTAAATCTGTAGAATGATCAGCACCCTTCTGCTTTGGAAACAGCTCCAGAAAGACATGTTAACCTAATCCACACTACAGTAGAACATGTGCCTCTGAACCATTACCATCGAAACTGCAATTTCAGAGTCACTATGTACACTAATCTCGATATTAAAGCACTGGTAGCTCTATTTGAGATTGTGCTATTGTAGATGAGTGTAGAGCACCATAGAACGGTGATGTATAATATTAGGTTTATTTAGGAGCCAAAAAAAAAAAAAAAAATTAGAAATGACCTATCCTGGATTCGAAATCTGGGCTTAAAGACTGCCATCCAGAAGTGCTTCTAATTACATCATGAAAGCATGCGTTGAGAAAAAAGAAAATTCCGTACATTCTTCCCCATTTAAAAGGCAGTTGGGGAGGTGGTAACCTAATCGCCACCTGCTGGTGGTGAAGAATTATCGTCGTCTACCACATTTTAGTTTGGGAACCACTTGGTTAGTTGGTTGAGCCTTTAGGTATTTATTTGAAATAGAAAATATCAGCGAATGACCGCCCCAGGATTTGCATTCTGGACTTCCCTATTGCCAGCCGAACGTGCTTCTAATTAGAACACGAAGCCAAGCGGTAAGGAAAGAGAAAATTAGTGACTTAGTATCTTATTTTATTTTGGCTGCACACAGTTCCTATATGTAGCTAAGCGAATTTCCCGGTCAGTAGCATAAATCCCAACCTTCCTAGTGGACAGCGTGCTTCCGCTCCTGTAAAATATTGCGATTTAAGAAGTCATCCACGATAGCTGATCAGTTCTGCAATTATATAAATAATAAAAATTAAGAATGAAATGGAGAAATTAATGTAACGTTAGTACAAACAAGAAGATGCAACAAAAAGATCAATTAGGAGATCACTTAGGGTCCGGTATTGTACAGCATGCACATATACGTAGCATGACATCTATGGGGTGTAGGAGAGGGTATAAAGCATGGTGTATGCTCAAAACATGAACGGAAGCTACTGCACGGTACATTTCGGTTTTAACAACATCGATTTGTAGTCTCAGCGTGACAGTTCTATAGACAATATCTGGACGACTTTGTCTGGAAGTTTGAAAGAAGGCCAAAGTGCGCGACTATACACATCATGTCAGTAGTTTGGATTACATTTCGAACAAAGGGAGCAGCTATCTGAAGGTTTAGTAATGCTCATTGCCAAATTAGACTTTTATATGCCCGTAGCACTTCAAAGATTTTGCTGCCTCCACATACATCTATAGTATAACGCCTCTTTCTCATCATTCCCTCTTTCTCGGGCTTGGATTAAACTGCACCTATGTATTCCTTTCTAAAACTCTGCCAGTGAGAATCTAAAAACTTCTGTCTAGGGTTACAACATATGGAAACCATGAAAACGCTTAGTTAGCAGCCAATCTGCTCGCCGGGATTCGAACCCCGGCCCGAGTTTATCGGCTTTACCGCTCGGCCACTGGAGAGCCGTCTTTAGATGATGCGATATCTATGCTAATGACCCCCATCATCTGGTGGTGGTGACAGTGGGTGACATCCTAAGATGCATGCAATCTATTACTGGACATCCAATATGGCTAAAGACTTGGCTATAGTTTTCAGCTCCTAAAGACAACTGCAGATTTCGTACACCCTTCTGTTTTCTAAGTATGGAAACTGTTTCATTCTAAAACTCGTCAGTTTGGCATCCCAGGGACAGTTGTCCACCCTCGCTCGTCTCTAGCTATACCACAGATATCACTACGAAACAATCTGATGGTGTTTTGATCGCTTTGCGGACTTTGATGCCTTCTCCTGGGATCTCGTCGAAAGCAGTGCAGCGACATTTGGAACTATAGGAAGCTTGCCTTCTTCTCCCACTCATTCTTTTTGATCCAAGCGCCACCTGTTGGTCACTTCGAACGCGGCCCGGAGAAGAAAGTGAAATTTTAATGTTTTGCGAAATTGTGGAAAATGCGAAGGTACGGCGAAAAATGTGTAGGAAATGATTATGTATTGCTGATGAAGTTGCTGAAAATGGTATACTAGCGTTCTTTGTCGTTGGGTGAGAAAGAACGTATAAAGCTATTCGTGGAGTTGAAGTGTGAATAGTCCAAGTCATTAACGTACTTACTGTTATGAGTTACATTAACAAATTTAGTCTGTTACTGATCTTTATGGTAGTACTATGTTTATGTAATGAATGTCTGATTTATTTGTAGTATAAGGTGCGAAGTTCACTTGACTTTATTTCTAAGCTTTTAGATTCTGTTAATTACCTAGTAATTCCAGAATAATAATCTAAATTTATTATCGCAATTTTGATGGGGTTAAAATATTTCTGTGTGAACTAAGTTCTGAATGCATTAAATTTTGGGTAAACTGAAATCTCAGAGTGGAAATTGGGCGTTATTTATGTATTTGCATTTAAATTTTTTAATCGGTATCATAGCAGCTATTTTCTTATTCATTTTAGTTCATATCTTAATTATCGAAAGTAATGTAAAAATTGTAGAATTTAAAATATAATAATATCAGTCGTGTAATTTTTATTTATTCGTTGCATTGTACTTTTCCTCCCTGTGTTAACGTGTTAAAATACTTATAAATCATTTAAGCATAACTATAGAGACTTTAGTTTTGATCTCGGATTGTAATATTTACCTTCTGCAGCGCAAATATATCAGTTCATGTTTTTATCTATTTCAGTTTCGATTTTCCACTTTTTATTAGATTTTTATTAGCTCTATTTAAGAGCTAATAAAAATCCAGCTATGCTTTAATTTAGAGACATTGATTTATTTTATGTAATTTTATTATTTGATATTGGAATCCTTATCTCCCAAATACATTTTTAGTTACATGGAATTTTTAGTTTAATTATGAATAGAATAGTTTTTTTTTCAAAATAATATTCCATTTTTAGCCATCGATAGCAGTATATTGCAGAAATTAATTCATATGGTATACTAATAAAGGAAATGCAATATAAGGGTGTGAAGATGTTCACTGTCCTATTTGCAGTTAAATATACGTGGAAAATTTTGACTTTTGCATTAATTGATTCAAATTTGTTTGCATTTGAATAATAATGAAATTTTAAAGTTAATTTTATTAACTTTTAAGTTGTAGATCATGAAACTATGGCATAAGATATTGACATTTGAGCATTTTCCATTGTCTGTTAATTTTTTTTTTTTTTTTTGAAGGTAGACTGTTTTGATGTGATGCCTTAGGTCTGTATCTCTTTTCCTTTTCTTTTCCCATTCTTGGAATAACAATCCAAGTAATTTCGGTAAAATCCTAGTATACGGTGCAGCGTTGGCACGATTTTGAAAATTATCGCCAACACCAAAAATTATCCAAAGAACGTCTATATACTATGTGTGTATATTCATAATATATACTATATATAACTATATATATTCTTTGAATGACCTTTTTACTACTCATTGTACATGTCCCATTTTTTACTGCTCATCATAAAGTCGCCAAAAGTAGCCAAATCCCGTGAGCACCAGATACTAGGATTAAACCGTAATCTCTAATCTAATATATATATAAGATAAATTATTCCATAAATTTACTAAATTGGGAACATCATTCTAATAAAACACATCCACATTAGCTTACAACTTCAATTGCATAACTTCTGGTTATATCACATACTTTGAATTTTTGATACTGATGTACAGTGTCTCACAAAAGTGATGGGACGCTTGTGCTTTAGAAAAGGAAACTGTAATAAAATAAATTTAAAAAACGTGTAAAAATTTTTTGTGGGTGTGTTTCATACTTAAATTTAGTAGCAATTATTACATAAGATACATTTTCCCAAAATATTAAAATATTAATTTAATAAAAATACATTTGTTCAGAACAGAGCAAAAAATGGCTCACATAAGTGGCTCACATTAGATACTACTACGTATTACAATAAAAATATTTTTTGGGGTTTTTATTTTTACTCAAAAGCAATGAGCAATAATTTATAAAATCGTCCGCAGTATTTCTCTCCAGTTTGTTTTGGAAATTTTGTGTTTTTTAGCTCTGTGCAGCCATGAATGCTAAACGAAAAGAAACTTTGCCTGAAATTCGAAAATTAGTTATTAATTTGCATGTTGAACGTGGAAAATCTATTAAAGAAACTGCTGAAACAGTTAACTTGAGAGTCATTCAACAGTTTTCAATATCATTAAACGATATAAAAAGAATGATATGATTCAGGATAAAAGAAGACCTGGCCGACCATCAAAGGTATCCAATGGAATAAAGCGAATTATCGTTCGAAATATTAAAAAAAATCCAAGAATGAGTGCTCCTAAAGTTGCTGCTGATTTACAAGCATTATATGGAGTAATTGTTAATCCTGAGACTATTAGAAGAGTAATTCGATCAGCTGGATATCACAGTAGAGCAGCCAGGAAAAAATTCTTCGTAAGTGAAAAGAATAGAGAACTCAGACTGGCTTTCGCAAAATGCAATGTAAATAAGAATTCTGATTACTGGAATGAAGTTATATTTTCTGATGAGAGTAAATTTAATATATTTAGTTCTGACGGTTGAATCTTGGGGTGGAGGAAACCCAGGGAAGAATTTCGTAAACAGAACTTGGTGCCAACAGTAAAACATATAGTGGTGGAAGGAGTTATGGTATGGGGGTGTATGTCGTCCGCTGGAGTTGGTAATCTTTATTGACGTTTTTATTTACATTTATTTAGATTTATATTTATTTGATTTTATTGACATCTAATGAATCAGGACAAGTATATTGACATTTTAAATCAAAATTTGAAATCTTCAGCATGAAAATTGAACCTTCATAACGATTTTAAATTCTACCAAGACAATGGCCCCAAGCACACTGCTTTGAACATTAGACTCTGGCTGCTGTATAACTATCGTGAAATAATAAAAACACCACCACAATCTCCAGACTTAAATCACATAGAGAATATTTGGCAAGAATTGGAATCAATAATTCGCAAACACACCATTTTTTCAAAGCAACAATTAAAATCGGTGCTTCAAGAAGAACGGGGTAAAATCGCTTAAGAAATCATAAAACAATTAGTCGAATCCATCCCAAGAAGATTAAATCATGTTTTAAAAGTAAAAGAAAATCCAACAAAATATTAAAACCTTTTAAAAAGTAAAATTTTTGGATAAATATTTGATGGAAAAGTAAATGTCCCATCACTTATGTGAGCCATATTTTGCTCCGTTCTAAACAATTGTATTTTTATTAAATTAATATTTTGAGAAAATGTATGTTATGTAATAATTATTACTAAATTTAAGTATGAAACATACCCACAAAATATTTTTACATGTTTTTTTAATTTATTTTACTACAGTTTCCTTTCGCAAAGCACAAGTGTCCCATCACTTTTGTGAGACGCTGTAAATAGCATTGCTTCCCTAGTCAGATTCAAGACTAAATAAATATTGAATCTCAATAAGCATTATTTCAACAAATTTGTTTTATACATATAGATTTACTTCTTGATAGTTTTAAGGTTATTCAGTCTCTAGTAGAAAACATAATTTAACAGTCCCTCATAACTCCCAATTTGATAAAATCCTAGGAGAGCCCACGCCCTCGGTGACAAACTGGGAAAGTGCGCACTGCTTCACACGTTTCTCAAAGTCGCCATTTGAAAGTAATAAGTCAGAGAATTGCACAAACTTGGTATCTATGTACACATCAACCTATTTTTACTTAAAAAATAAAATAAAATAAAGTAAAAAATCAGAGAATTGCACAAACTCTGTATCCATGTACACATCAACCTATTTTTACTAAAAAAAATCAGAGAATTGCACAAACTTGGCATTGCACACTCCCTTGTTTTTGTCGATGTACACATTGATAAGCGCCATAACCATAATCATTCGCGCTAAGGGTCCAACTGTCATTAGACATTAGGTTTTCTTTTGCCATTATTAAGGCTTATTATCCTTCGAGTTGGCATTCTGATTTGTTTGGGGGACTACTGAATTGGGAGTTTTCTCCTTATCTTCATGATATGGAATGAAATGAGCAAAACATTTTCTGTGTAAATGTGTATAATTGGTTATATAATATTTGTTATCTGGCAGACAGAGATGTAGTAGATGTTGAAGTAGATAATTTGCAAAAAATATATCTTCCTGTTGTAAACATATTTTAATCATTAGAGTGTACTTTGAGTTACATAATATTTTGTTGAATTCTGTAAACTGCTGATATATGGACTGAGTTTAATTGTTATAGGTATGATTCAGATTTTCACAATGTAAACTGAAAACTTGTAACTGAAACTTTTACATATCAAAGATTTTCATAGTGCACTTAACTGCATAATTCAAGAATGTTGTCAAAGAATCCAGGATATTCATATTTAGATGTGACGAACTTGTATAGTACTCAAGAAGAAGTACTTTTTGTTTTGTTTGTTTTTGTTGTAATACAGTGTTTAGAATCTTAAAAGACTAAAATGATGACATTTTGTCCAAAAGCTCTCGTTGGTATGTCTGAAAAACAGAAATGACTTACTGAAATCATCATCAAAGTTAAGCTGTTTACTTCTGGATTACTACATGTCTGCCTGCTAGTTAATAACCAAGTATAAAGTATTATAAATATATAAATAATATAGTAATGGTTCTTTTGGTATGTTTCTGTTATTGGAACTGCATTCAGAAATGTATGTGTGTGTGCATGCGTCCATGTATGTACAAGCATACATTTCTGAATTCAGTCTGAATAACAGAAAAATATCGATCTTTTTAAGTTCACCTGGGAGTTAAAAATTATTTGTGTTATTGAATGACTAATTATCTGTATGATACGCATAAAATATACACACACATATATGTAAATTTCACTTTTAAACATATATAAAATTCAAACGAGGGCTCTGCGAGGCAGAGATGGCAGGAGCTCAACTTCAACTAGACATCCAGACCTTGCTACGTGACAAAAATTGATATAAGGATTTTTTCTAACTGTTCAAATTTACACTGGTAAGAACTCGTAAATCATGAAAGGAAATACCAACCGACATTTGGTCGATGATTTTGCTGAGTCAGCTGCACATTCACACATGAGAAGCTTTACCTCCTGAAGTGGCTGTGGCTGAAACTGTTTGTTGTAGCCGTTAATAATTTATGTGCCTTAGGATCTGGGAGATGACAGTAATGATAACTAGGCTATTGCATCAATGCTACCAGCATTTTTTATATTTGCAGTGCTGACCATTTATTGAATTCACAAGTTAATAAACTTGCCCACTTCTAACATTTGCCGTCCAACCGGTATAGTGGTTAGGATCGCTGACTGTCGTACTGAAGGGTCCAGGTTCGAATCCCGGAAAAGATATAGATATCTGTAAATATAATAGTGTTAGTGCGACATGGCGGCGCTCTAAATATGGGGCGAGCCGAAAGTCTTCTCGTCTGGTCTGGTTTGGTGGAAGGGAAGAGGTGTGGGAGACCCGTTCCTCCGAGGTGATCTCCATCAAAATTGGGGATGGAACTAAGTAAAATCATACTGTCCTCTGTAATGTGCTCAAAGCTGTTGCCAACAGCAGGCGTAAACTCGCTCTCTTTGCCACGAGAAATTTTTTTAGCTTGGGCTGATGTTACTGTCGACAAGTGAGCATAAGTAACAACAACTTATTACATTCAAATTTTTAGGCACCAGAATGAATATACACTTATCAATACAGAAATTACTGTTTTTTAAACCTGTCTCCACCACTTATAAAATTTAGATTGACAAAAGACAGTTTCTTGAGTGCCAGTTTATCCAACTTTTACATATCAAAGATTTTCGTAGCCCTTTTAGCTGCGAGACACTGTTTTCAGAGTTCGTTCTCCACAATGATTTACAAAATCAATGTTTGAAGGAACGTAAGAACTAAAGAATTCAACAAAACTTTTAAGTTTTACAAACAGCATTTCCTTATTCTTAAAGTTGAAAAAAATAATCCTTTAGAAGTATTCTAAATGACTGGGGATACAATCTTAAATATTAGTTGGTATAATGTGGAAGTGCATTTTTTGTATCCTATCTTTGAAGGTTTTTACAATCAAAATTTCCCTTCTTGCATAGATCCATTATGTTCACAGAGTTATAAAAAAAGGTTCACAAAATGCTTTTTATGTTACCTTACGTTAAGTTTTTAAATGAAAAGGAAATAATAACCTTAAGCTGAAGAAAAAACAAAGAATGCATTACTTATGCTTATAATCATGAACAGGCAGATCAACTAAATAGACAAAGCGTAATCTTTCTGCTGGCTAAAAACATAAGTTTTGAAGATTGAATGAGTCATTGGAAGAAGCACTTTTTTAATTTGTAGTGTGCTTAACTTGTAACATCAAAAATGCCAAACAAAAAAAGTCTTAAGGAAGCGTGACAGGAAAAGATGAATTGTTAAAAGATTTTGATGTTCTTGGTAATTGCAGGAAGAATAAAACTACATTTTAAACTGAGACTTTTACAAACAGTTCCCCTTTTTCTTCTTTTCTTTTTAATGCCAAGTACTATTCATTTTAAGCTTTGTCCTCTACTAAGGCCAGACGCAGTGATAATTTTATTATAGAAGCACCTAATAGGCATCCACTGTTACCTCCTATGAAGGGAGAAACAATTTGCATCCCTGCCTTCTTAGGGATTTGAACACGTTCAGTTAGAGTAAGTATGCCTTCAGTATGGCTGTGAGAGCCACCAACCACTTTCCAGTCTGGGCCGCCTGTGCAGTTTTCCTAAACAACGAATTATAATCAATAAAGAAATAAAAAGTACAGATGTCTAAAGGAAGCCCAAAACAGCAAAAATCGAAAGACAATACTACTTTCCTAGAGTGGTTTCAAGCTGTTAAATGCTAGGAGGGAATTTTGTATGAACTGACAGTTAACTTAGAAATTGGAAAAAAGATAAATCCAAAGTTGTTTATCAGAAACTGCATGATAAGAAGGAAAAGGCAGATAATCATTTGGCTTATAGCTTGATAGAAACGTTTTACTTATGCTGCTAAATACTTTATAATAGAAAAATACGTATAAAGATACCCAAATAAATGCTTTTCGCCAATGAGTTGCAGACTTTTCACGAGAGTAGAGGTACTTAGAAAACACTAAATCTTTAGTTGCATTACACTGAAATATAGTCATGTTGTGTTGATAATTGTACTGCATAGCTGCCAAATATGTTGATTTTACTAGAAGACTACCAGGTTTTCATCACATCTCCCAGTACATGACCAAATTTCTGGGTTTTTAATTTTTAGGCTTTACAGAGGAAAGCATTTTTTAGCAATAAAAATGTATTGAATTAGGGAAACTTATATTGAGCATTGATCCTATCCCTAGTAATTTTTTTGCATAATTTTTCTTGTATTAAATTCTTTATGAACTGAATTGTCTTAATTTATTGCAGACATTTTCAGAACATTTCCTACAGACTCAACCAATATGTAAATGGTTAATATTTCTATATTTTTTGTTTTTTACATCAGTGTATGATAGCATTAGGAAGTTTATCCGTGCATAGTAGGTATATTATTAATTTTATTTTCATGTTTGACAAATAAAACTTTCCTAATATTTATTTTCTGATTATTCACCCTTTGCTCCCGGAAAGTCGGCAATGGAGAAAAATGTTTCACCAAACTAAGATATGAAAGACAATAGATGTTTTCAAAAATGGCAGCACACTTAAGGATTATATAAAATAGAAAACAGAATTTAAACCATAAAAAAAAAAAAAAAATCCATAATAAAATACCTTTGTTTTGTGCTGTTCCCCCCCCATGTGCATTGCAATCTGTTTTAGCTTCAGAAAACATCAGAGAATTGCAGAACACAACATCAAGCTCATTTTGGCACTACAGAGATTTTATGTTAATAAATTTTTATTTTATCAGGGTAATTATGGTTTGGATTTAGCTGAAATTCTGAATTGTTTACTTTCTCAATATGGATTTGAAAAATTGTATGAATTGTATCATTGTTTGAACATGCAAATTTCACAGGCAGTAATCTTGAAAATTATTGCCCGTGTCTAATTTTTTTTGTTGCAGTTACTAAAAAAGTATCTGTCATGTAGGCATTCTGGAAAATTTAATCCATTAAAAAGCAATTTAAATGTATTACAAGAATATATAAGATTGTATTAGAAAAGTGCATTAGTGACATGAATACTGCTCTGCATTGTGAAAGAACTACTGTCATTGCTTTGATGAAATGATTTGCCTAATATCGTTTCAGGTGATGAAAACAGGAAATCAGAAATTATCAAATATTGTAAGCTGCCTTACAGGAAAACAGAAAAAACTGATATTGTAAACTTTTATTCCAAAGGGTTCAGACTAAAAGATTAACCGGAAAACAGTATTGACAAAGATCATTAAAGCTGTGTTAGTTTCCTTCAATTAACCCATTGTTAAAAGTGCATTTAATTATATGGGTTGATACTGGAATAGAATGTAACACATGCTTGAACACTGATAGTTTAAATGCAGTCTAGTAAAGATTTAGAAACAATTTGTCAGACAACTTAACCAAAATTCTTCCACGAATCATGCTCTTCTATGAGCAAGTCATTTTCAATACCCATTAAAATGTGTACTTTAGGTTCTGATCTAATCCTTGAAGGATCATTGAAAGTTATTGTCTACATCAAACTATCATGCTGATGACACTGACAAGATATAGTGAAACTTAAAAATATTATATATTTTGCTTCATTAATGAAATTATTTGGAAATCTGTGTATGTGCATATATATTACATTAATGTCTGGAATGATGTCAAATTTTATGCAGTGACAATTTTTAGTATTTTTGAAATATAGTAGCAATCACCTCTGATTTTGCTGCCTTTATTAATGCTTCCTTTGATTTAATAATAGGCCCACCTACGGGCAAGTGTTAAAGTTGCTGAACAGTGGTAGTTCAATTACGAGTGAATAGGCTGGTTTCGTGGTAGTTTTTGAGGCTTTCCCCATGTTTAATATGAAAGCAAGTACTTAGGAAATCCTCCATGAAAAAATTTCTCCCTGTAGGCAGATAGCTGTTCCGGGTCTTGCCATACTTAAATAAACCAAACTAATTTAATTAAAAAAAAACTAAACTCAGTGGCGTAACAGTCCTAACGGGCCAATACCTGCAGTGCCCCGAAATCTGCTTTCTTGATCGTGGGCTCCGGGGTGCGTAAGCATGTGCCCTGAACAAGTGGTCAGCTTGTCGCAGGATCCCCCCCCCCAGTGTTTAGCCCCCAAGTGAACTTGGTACTCATTTTATCGACCCAAAGGATGGAAATCAAGGGATGAAAGGCTGAGTCGACGTTGCCCAGCCAGGGGATGCGCTAGCCACTGCACCACCGGGCTTCAAATTTAATAATTTATATTCTCTTAATTCACAGTTGTGTATGAATTTTTTAATTAATTTTTTTAGGAAGGACATACTTAAGTAGTTTGTTAAAAACTGTGTCAAAATTATGCTGATGTTCAAAGATTTATTAAAACTCTATTACTATATAATTATAAACACTTTGATTTTCATGTCTTTAATTTTTTTCATTTATTTCAGAGGGAACGAGTCCTTTTTTTTTTCCCTCAGAAAATATAGCAAATTTTTACTTTCAAATATTCTTTTCATCTCTGTTTAATTTTTTGATATTATTCTTTTCTAGCTTTTAAAACTGTAAGTTCAATGAAACATTAAAACATATTTTATTTTTCGTAGAGATATGATTTCTCGAATATATGAGGGGTGTTCAAATTGAAAGGTGCAAAAACATCATAACAACCAAAGCCGATCGAAATTTGAATATGCCACTTTGGGATAATGCAGTGAGACATCTAGGTATGTGAATGTAGAGTCCGGCATGGTTGTGCGTTTGCACACGATGCAGGAGAAAAGCAGGCAGTTGTGTGTTCTGTCCAGTTGATGCAACAATTGTGCTTGTGAAGACATCATGGTGTTCATATTGCGAATTTCTATGATTGAGGAGCAGCGAGGTGTTATCAGATTTCTGACTGTAGAAGAGGTTGAACAGGCCGATATTCATCGCCGGATGATGGCCATATACGGGAGAGACTGTGTGTCTTACAAATTAGTGAGAAAGTGGAGTGTTCGATTTCGTGAAGGCCAGGAGAGTGTTTGAGTGATGACCTGAGACGAGGACAGGCAAACACGGTAAGCTAGCCGAACTCATCGACAAGGTAAACGATTTGGTAAGAAGTGATCAGCATGTCGTAGTGTGAATGTTGACAGTAAAGGTGAGGGCCAGTGTTGGAACAGTTTGAACAGTTATACATGACATCATGTGTTATCAGAAGGTGTGTGAGTGGTGGTTTCTGAAAAAGCTCAGCAAACTGCAGTAGGAACTTTGTATGGGGCTAACACTGCAACACCAATATCATGAAAACCCCGCTTTGCTGGAGCGGATTTGTCGCTGGTGCCATCACTTTGAGACAGAGACAAAGCAAGACAGCCTGGATTGAAAGCATGCATCATCACCTTCCCTAGAAAATTCAAAGCTGTACCCTCAGCAGCCAAGGTAATGCTTACCATCCTTTTAGCAGCCAAGGTAATGCTTACCATCCATACCAGCTTGAGCATCTGTCATACAGCCTAGACTGTTGCTCTACGACTTAGGATTGGCTCCTGTCACAGACACAGGAATTCCTGGAAGAGAAAATACTTTGGCTCGTGAAACAGTGGGTTGTGTTTGTGCTGAGGTGACATGTGATTAGTTGTTAATAAAGACTTCAGTTATACCCACAGTGCTGTTTTGTACCTTTTCATTTGAACACCCTTTACAGAATGCTTTGAATAAAAGAATTGTAATACAGTACAAACTCCGAAATACGGAATGATCTAAAATCCGGACCTCAAAACCACCAAAACCATTTTTTCTCATAGGCTTTACGCATGCACATTTGATTTCCTCCCTCCACGTATAATAAAACATCTAGAGGGTCCCGATTCTTAATTTCACTTTGACACTAAATAAAGTACCTTGTTATTGAAGAAACAATCATTTTAGCATAAATTTGTACGATCAGTAATTTGGCTCTATTGATGCGTATCTGCTTTGGCACACATCTCAAACCGAAACATTCCACATAGATACATCATTGATGAGATGCCAACCTGGCGAATCTATTTATTATACAGTCAAAAGTCTTTAATCCGAACCTCAAAGCTACAAACTTTCTGCGCATGCGTAAATACATAATACCGTTACGCATGCGCGTTTAATGTATAACGGACGAAATAAGGTAAGCTAAAATTATCTAATTATCTATTTCAGTTAATGTTGCAGATTGCGTTGTTCCTTAATCTTCTAATCGGATCAGGCTTATTATTTTTTGCAGACTTTTAGAGTAATTTTATAAAAGTAAGCTTGAACTTTCGATTATGTCAAAAAGAATTTCTGATTCTGGAGCTGCCAAAGGATCTACAAAGCGTAAACATGTTTCGATGTCCATCAAACAAAAAGTGGAATTGCTGCAAAAAATGGATAAAGGTATATCCTTTGTTTCTCTAACCATTCCAAAATCTGTTTATCAATTTCACGCTGCTCTGCTGCTGGGGGGGGGGAGAGATGTTGCCGTGCTCAATGAACTGAAAGTTGATCTGTCAGCATTATCCTTATCTTCAGGGCAGATGTTTTTATTTTATTTGGCTTACAATTCCTTACTAAATGTAGTATTTCATCTCGATGTACTTCGTCTTTGATATGATTTAAATCAAATTCCTCATCATTATAAATATCACGAAAGAACATCAAATAGTTTTCTGGTTGCAATTTTCTAATTTCGACTATGCGTAATGTATGCTTTACAAATGCGCACGTTGAAAGAATTTTTTTATACCCTTTACATCATAATTGCTCATTATTTCATAAATTACGGTTTCATATTTTTAATTTTATAATTTCTGCATGCCATCTTGCCAGATTTTAACTGATGATCTATAATCGAGAAAAACCGATAATCCGGAATCGCCGAAGTCCTGACAAATCTGGATTAAAGACTTTTGACTGTACTTTCTTTCATCATTGCATGTTTATCAAAACATGATAACTTGAGCAATGACTCGTGTAGCGATGACTTTTTTACTGTTTATTATAGTTTTTCAGTTTTGACAAAATATGAGCTTGGTTATTTCCTAAAAGAATGTGAAATCTATTTATTATTCACATAATCTAGTTTAAAAGCCTTATTATTGCTGATATTTATTTTTATATGTGTATGTGTATGAATTTGAAGGTTTAATCGTAAGATCAATAGACAACTGAATTTTAAACTGTATTATATGAATTTTATTATGCGTGCTTTATAAATTAGATGAGTCTATGTATATCAGATGTTTTGAAATATGTATCGTGCTTTTCAAATATGTTTATTTTACCGTATACCTCTTATTACCTTTCAGGAATCATGCAAATTTTTTTTTATTGCAATGTGCAGTGTTGAATTTTTAATCTGTAATTTTCAAAATAAAGTTTCATGTACTAATTTTCAATGAAAGCATACATTTTGGACATTATAATTATTATTATATCTTTAACGTATGATTTGTTTATTTTAAAAATGATCTTTAATTTTTAATCCTGATGTAACATTATCTTCAGTTTAATACTTCCATTGATATGGTCAAAAATATATAAACATGTCAAATGATCTTTTTTTAAATATAAAATTTTAGATTTTATATTTAAAGAAATTAAACAATGGAGCATCTGCATAAATGTATGCATGTTTCTTGCATTGTGACAAAACAACAGTACCTAGAGCCATTAAATTTCGAATAATGTACGTCTCCACCCGAATTTAGAACTTGTTTTATTATTTATTTCATATTTTGTAAACCATTTATGTGTTTTTGATTAAGAAATTCAACAATTTCAAAGCGAGCAATAGCAACATTGTACAGGAAAAGAACATTTTGTTTCTAGCATGCGAGACTGTGTATCGAAAATTCTAAAGATATGCTCTTTTAAATATTTTGTGATTTTGCTGGTGAATTGAATTTTATTGTTTAAATGCGAAGAACATGATACAGTCAAAAGTCGTTAATCCGGACTCGTCGGGACTTCGGCGATTCCGGATTATCGATTTTTCCGGATTACAGATCATCAGTTTAAATCTGGTAAGATGGCATGCAGAAATTACAAAATTAAAATATGAAAACCGTAATTTATGAAATAAAGAACTATTATGATCTAAAGGGTATCAAAATTTACAAAAAGAAAAAGCTTAATATTTATTTGTTTACTTTATTAAACATTTCTTTTAATGTAAGTTGTTTAAGTTGCTTCGTTTCATGCGATAATAATTTCTCTTTAATTCTATTTAACAGACATAATTTCTTGTTTAGTTACTAAGTTCTGCTGTTCAAGTCCTATAATTGCTGTGTTGAGAATACCGACTAATTTATCAATCGAAATTATTTCGTTTTCAATAACCTCTGGGTCACTTTCTTCACTATCGGAAGCGAATTATAATGATGAGGAACTTGATTTAAATCATATCAAAGACGGGGTACATCGAGATGAAATACTACATTTAGTAAGGAATTATAAGCCAAATAAAATAAAAACATCTGCTCTGAAGATAAGGATAGTGCTGACAGATAGATCAACTTCCAATTCATTACGCACCACGGCGTGAAATTGATAAACAGATTTCGGATTTCGAAACATACTTTCGCTTTGTAGATCCTTTACATATTAGTAATTATATATCGGAAATTCTATTTGACATAATCGAAGGTTCAAGCTTACTTTTATAAAATTGCTCTAACAGTCTGCAAAATATAGTAAGCCGGGTCCAATTCGAAGATTAAGGAACAGCGCAATCTGTAACATTAACTGAATTAGATAATTTTAGCTTAGCTAAAATGTGTAACGGACAGTAGTTCGTTACACATTAAACTCACATGCGCACACGCATATTTGCAGCCGTAAAGGTCTTACGTGCACTCGTAAACGCCTAAGTGCATGGTGAACGGGAAGCATGCGCAGCAATTTGTAGCTTTGAGGTCCGGATTATGGGTGTCCGTATTAACGACTTTTGACTGTATTTAATAAATAAAAGTAACGCATAAAACATTAAAGAACACCCCTTTGGGCTTAATATAAAATTTAAATGCTTTCAAATTTTTTAATGTTATTCATTAGTTCTTTACCATTTCTAGTTTGGCTGTATACATGCATGTATACGAAATAATATTTTTAATTTATGTATTGTAAGTTACATCAATTTAATGCAACTTGTGTTTAATAATTGACTGTTAATAAAATTTGCATTTTACTGGAGTTATCCCAGCTGTAATTAATGACTGCATTTTTATTCTTTCTGCTGAAAAATAAATACAAAAGTTTTTTTTTTTTTTTTTTGTGTGAAATACATAGTCTTAAATTAAGCACATGTTATATATATGTTAATATTTTCTGTTAGTAAATCTTCCTGTATAATTAGTAATGATACTTAATTTTTTTAATGTTCTAAATTCCTTTTAATTTATTTCAGGAAAGTGAAATGGTCATCATTCAAGTGTATCTTCATGAAAAAATATTTAAAACTAAACAATTTCATAAATATTTGGTTTTCAGATATTCTCTTCTAATTGTACTTTTTTTTATAAATTGTTATATTCTCAACTAATTTTTTGAAATATAATATTTTATCTAGGCATAATCAGAGACACATTACAAACATTCATTTTAGATTTGATTTATAATGTATAGAATGTTTAGATGGAAAGAATTTTCATGTATTAAAGAAACAGAGTAACAATTTGGAATTTTTGTCATGATAAATAAATGAGACTTTCTAATAAGAATGCTGATGTACTCTTGAAAAAGTAATTTATTCAATACTTTTTTTTTCATGTTAGTAATTTAGTTTTTTTTTTTTTTTTTCTCTAAGATAATAATTAGACCAGTTTTAGTAGGTTTCTTTAAAATTTATTTTTGCTCATTTGTAATCAGCAGAAACTCTTGAATATTAACCATTTCATCGTTTCCCTCGAGACAGACTTTTTGATCTGAGAAGTGTCATCAGTGGCTATGAACGATTTTAATGATTCATATAATATCAAAAGGCCAATAGCCATCTTAAATACTCAAATAATTGTGAAATATACACACATATATATGTTATATTATAGTTCAAAGCTATCGACTGCACTTTTAAAATCTACGAGTCTTCCTAAGGAAACAATGAAGAGGCAGATCATTTTATCATTAATATAATTTTTGGAAACTTAAAAAATTAAAGAAGAGTATTGTATTTTCTGTTAGTGCTAAATAAAATTCAAATAAAAAGATTTTTTTTAAGGATATCTTCCAAGGTGATTAGGTTTCTTGCATATTTTATGTATGAAAGTTTGAAAGAAATTTACGTGCCTATTTAAATTCTAGACTTGATATAACAATCTTGATATTTAATATGTTTTATCTCCTTTCTTCATTGTACAAAAATGTATATTAGTATTCAAATGAACAAAAGACATGTTTAACATAAAATATATTACGCATTTGTATGGAAGGTAGCCATGTCTATTGCTGTACTCATTTGCATTTTCAAAATCGGTACATTATCTATGTACATACTCACATAACTCAAAGTATATACTCGCATACTTTTGAGTACATACTCGCATAACTCAAAAACGACTAGCCTCAGAACGTTGAAATTTTGTGTATAGGACTGCTATAACATGTAGATGTGCACCTCGTATTTTGGTAACAATCGGTCACACCAAAAATATGTATATATACCACTCTGTTACTTGGCTCAGTGATCTCAGGTTCTTTATTCTTATATGTTTGTAAATTGTGCAATTTTTTTTTTTTTTTTTTTTTTTAAAGTTTAAAAATGATTGAATTATGTTGTTTTGGTTAAGATTATTATGCCTTTAGTTAACCTGCATGCAATAATTGTGGAATTATCAACAATTTAAAAGTTTTAAATTATGGTTAAGCCTAATTTTTTATTACCATTGCTGCCATGTTTGCTTACATTTGAAACTTGCAGAATAGTGGATTTGTTGCCAATCTAGAGGAACTAAGCTTTACAACAACAAAGTAACATCTTCTTTTATTATTACAAATTAGATTATACTTAATTCATTCTGGAATTATAATTTAAATTATTATCTTGTTTTTGTGTTGAAACTGTAATTTTTTGTAATTTTTATTGTAAAAATTATTTTTAACTTGGTATTTTATGTTTTTCTGTATGCTTCAAATTTTAATGAAAATATTTTGAATTTTTATGTGTTTTTGCCTTGCCATGAAGTGAATTAATTAGCGCATGCACATTAGGTAAGCGGCACTGAATCATCTGCAAAAAAATTTCTTTTTTATTTGTGTAATTTCTTTTATATATAGTTATAAAATGAATGAGATGTAATTCTGTTAAGTGAACCAACCTAGTGCCGAAATGTCACAATGGTAAATAAATATAGTGAACTTTAAAGAGTGCATTTATTCTATTGTGGTTTATGCGCTATGAAGTAGATTTAATTCAAAATTGGTTAACTGTTAATTCAGTATGTTGAAATGAAATGCAGGAAAATTGTATATAATTAAATATTCTGTACAAGGAAGTCGTGTCGTGGACACACCAGATTTTTTATTGTAGTCTTCAAGTTTTATATTTTAGTTACTTTTTAAGTGCATCATAATTAATTTTTTAATTTTTCATATAAGGTTCTTTGCATTTACATTGAATTATTTTTATCTAATATGTCTTAAGCATAAATTTTCCCATAACTACCTTTATGTCTGTTGATTAATGTGAAATTGTTTTTTTAGTTATTTTACTTGAATTTTTTACTTGAATTTACTTTTATTTTACTTGAATATTTAATTGAAATGTGCTGTATTTTATCTAGGTCCTGGGTGCTGAAAAATTCATGCTGTGCAGTTCTGTACTAACTACATATTAAATTGTTCTGTTGATTTTTAAAAATTATAAATTATTTTTTTTGAATCTAGTCTTTTTTTTAATATTATTAAATATATATATATTAATATATATGTAAAAGGTTTTGGTTTTAAATTTATTTTATATTATTTCTGTATTAGATTGTAATCATTTTAGCTGTAACTTAATTTAAAATGTGTTTAAATTACATTTTTAATTATTATTTTTATAAAAGTAATGAAGCTTATTGTTTTTAACGTTTCTAATAATTATTTAATGCACTTTCTGTAGTAGGTATTTAAAGATAGTTTATTGATTTTTGTCCATTTTTGCCTAGCAGATTTCTGAAAATTTTCTCGTGCATAAATATGCCATGCCTTTGATGAAAAATTATTCATTATTTTGTTATATATTTACAATTTTAGATTTCTCGAGGTTTGGAATAGACGATATTCCTTTAGAGGTTTTACCATTTCTGAAGCAAAGACCTGAATTGACAATTATGAAACAAGGTGAAAAAACTAAAAAGAACCTTTATCAGTGTGAAATTTGTCCATATGAAACAAGTTCTCAACAACTTTTTCAAAATCATCGTGAAGATCATCAGTCATCTAAAGCCCAGCCTTGTAATCAGTGTGGCATGGTGTTCAAAAATCTTAGTAAACTCCGTGCTCATATGCACTGTCATGAAATGGATAAGCATTATGTTTGTATGTACTGTGAGAAAAAATTTACACGTCAGTCATCTCTGAAGGTTCATATGAAGACTCATTTTCACTCAGAAAGTTGTCATGTGTGTAAGAAAAGTTTTAATAATGCTTCTGCCTTGAAGAAGCATATGATGACAATGCATAAACAACAACAAATTGAGAATTTTCAGAAGTAAATTGTTCCTTGCATATCTCCAGTTTTGATATTATATATATTAACTGATTGTAACTGTATAAAACTGAATTGCGTAAATGTCATTATTAAGTTTCTTGAACAAAAATGGTGAATTTTTATAAAAATGCTTTGCATATTTGATGTTTTTGTTCCAAGTACCAACTGAAATAAATGTACTAAAATCTTTGTATAAAATGCATAGGTATTGAAGTTTGTTTGTATTTCAGTTTTGTGCCATTATAAAGTAATAGAACTATCCAATAAAAATTTATTAAGGAAAATGTCAACTAGCAGTTTAATCAAATCTTGAATTCTGATACATAGTATATAAAGAAAATCATGACCAAAACTGCTATGCAATATTCAAAGTAAGATTTGGTTAACATGAAGATTAATTTGTGAAGTAATGGAAGACTAATGTGTGAATAATATTTGAAACTTGGAAAGTGTAGACTTCTTGTTTTATCAGCAGTCGAAATGATATTGTAAATATCATTTCGATAGGTGCTTTTATCATCCCATCAACAAGATAAGTGCTTTTATCATCCCATCAACAATATATTCATTTTTGACGAAGTCTGAACAGAATCACTTACAAAAAAAGTTGCATAATTTTTTGTTTAAACTGCAAGCAATACTTTTTAATTTTTTAAATAGTTCTTAGTGTTTAAAATTAACTACTTTTCAAAGTTATTTTGTTGTGATGAAAGTCTGAGTTATCTGCATAAAAGAGTGTCTTCATAGTGGAAAGGTAACAACTGGTCTGCATTTAATTAACAAATAGGGAAAACTATGTTATGCTGCCAATCCATTCCTCTGCTAGAAACCAAAACTATCATGAATTTTAGTGTATCTGCACCACTGTACTATTGGTTGACCAAATAATGGTTAGTAACAAAATTATTTTATATAATTATTTTAATGAACTTGCAGAATGTTTCAGATTTCTTTATGTTTTATTAGTTTCCATCTTGCCAGTTTAATAAATTATAAAAAGAACTCAAGCTTTATTATAACTATTTTAATTTTTTTCACATTGTAATGTTAATCTTCAAAACTACCATGCTTCACAATTTATCTGCAAATTCTCCCTTTTTTTGGGGGGGGGGAAGGGGGATGTTTTAGTGTATTTGTTTTTTTCCCCCTGTTTTTAATAATTGCATGAGTGTGCACACCCATATTAAACTACCCAAGTGTGCAAGAATTTATTTTACATGTTCAATTCTTGTTATTTCCTAGCCTGAATTAAACCATAATTTCTGATAACATAAAGTGTCAGGCATTTTCAAGTAGAAACTCTTGATTTTCAAATAGTGATTTTACAAAGCATGTGTAAATTTCTGATGGTTAATTTATTTAAATTTGAGTAGAGCATAAGAAGACTTGATATTATATTAATTTGATTTTTTCAATGAATATCTGAGTGAATTGGTGATGACTGAAGCTTCATAAGATTTTTTTGTAAAAATAATTCAGTAACTATTTCTGTCTTGTCAAAAGACTATGTTTTATATATTAAGCATTAAAATGTTCATGAAAAAATAAGGTTTCTACTCACTGTTTCAAGTTTGAGATACTGAATTTTTTTAATATTTAACAAAACATTAAACTTGTTGGAGTAGTAAATTTGATAACTGATAAAATTTTGCATCTTTTTTTTTTTTTTTTCAAAGTATTTTAGCTTTGAAGGCAAAATTATATGATTTTTTCTGTAACTACTTAAATGTGAGTTGATGATTTAAAAAAAAAAAAAAAAATCGTGCTGTGTATTTAAATCATGCAATGTAAAATTTGTATAAATCTATAGGAACTTTCTAAGCAGTTCAAACGCAATGGATGTTTTCTGTTTACAATTTTAGGATACCTTTTTTGAGCGTACTAAAGAAGACTTATGTAGACAAACCATTTACTTTGTTGTGATTCTCAGTACAGAAATGTGCTAGCATTATGAATTGAGATAAAAGTGAAATAAAATGGCTTTTTATATTTAGGTGATATGGAGTTGTATTAACTGACCAAACCTTTTTTGTGAATAAAGTCATTAAGCTTATAAATTATTTTCTCACTGTTGGAGGAAATATTTTAGATATTATTTCATTGCTTCCCTAACAGTTATGAAAGTTGATGGAGTTAATTCATGTGAAACAGAATTAGGTTGTTGTAAGAAAAGCACCGTCGTCAAAAAAGTGTTTCCATGTTGCGTTTCTCATGACAAATGACACACAGTACATTTTGTGTGAAGTGTCAAATTATATGCGTGTTGTGTCTAGATTGACAATATAAAACTGGGCCTTTATCAAAGAAAAGTAAACAGAAGCTTAAAATTATTGATTCTTTCTTTAGCATTTTGAATTCAAATGCACTAGAATAGTGTGAAATGTATGAATGATTTAGATCAAAAGAAAGGAAATAATTTTCAGTAAAAACTATTGCTAAGTAGTGGCTGATCCATATGTAATATACTTTGGTTCTTGCTGTAATGAATTCATAAGTTGTATGGAAGATGATAGTCCATAAAATTAAACAGAAAAATATTTAGAAGCGTATAGAGAAACAGTAAGAACTCTTTTGCAGAGAAGTGCAGAAAACTTGTTAAAAACAATTTTAGTGCTGTATTACAAAAAATGCAGTACACATGTGTAATATGTGTAAGAAATTTGTATATGGAAAACGCATACATCAAAATATTAACATTGCCAACCTTGATAACTAAAATCCTCTCTATCCTCTGAAGTAAAGTTCTGAATTTAGATTTCACAATGCTTTGCAAATTTGACATCAACAGCTAAATCTTCTATAACCTTATTTATCACTCAATATTGATACTGAAAATAAGAAGCATTTTATCACTACCAGTTGCTGTCTTTGTGGCTTAAAGAAATTTTTACAATCAAAATGTCTTATATACAAGACCTATATTTACTGTGCTGTGGAACTTGGACATTATAAAAGGTACATGCAACTCGTAGGTGTTTTGAAACAAAAAAAATCTCTAATCTACATCTTCTAAAAAAGTTCTTAATTCTAACAACCTCTTTATCATCAAATTTGTACTTCCTTATCACGTTGCTTGATCAATAATTGCTCCTTTATCTGCAATTTTGGGAGTTCTTGCTGCTTACCTAAATATACCAGTTAGATTTGTAACTAAATGAATCAGTTTAATCACTAATGGCAAATATCACATCCGTCCTCCTCCCTTATATTTATTTATTAATATGTCAATAAAATAGAAAATAACTATTTATTAATGTATATAGTCCATAAATAAAAATAACTCAGCTTTTCATCCTTTTTTTTTTTTTAATTCATTTAAATTTCATTTCAAATTCAAACTGTCCAAAAAAAACTGGAGTCGGAGTCGACCTGTTTTTAGCGACTCAGCTCCAACACCTTTTAACCCAAAATCTGCTTGACTCCGTGACTCCGACATCACAGCCCTAGTTTTTAGCAACATGGCTATAACCCGAATTATATAAAGGAATATTACATTCTTAGAATGAATTACATGAAATTTACTCTCACTTTAGATGAATGAATTCTTCCTTAACATTTATTTATTAATTTTTTTTTTACTATAAACTAATCGGGAAATGGATCAAAGGACTGTTTTTTTTTAGTATTTAAACAGCATCATGCATCACTAGTGACTTATTAAAACTACCAGCTGCAAAATTTGTTGAGAAGAGAGTGGAATGGAAGAGGATGCTAAAGAAGTTTATAGTCCATCTTGGGCTTACCATGTCTATAGAAGGTAATTAAAATTTTGTTTTCATCTTAAGTTCTGAATTTCAGTTTCTTTATGGCCCAGTAATTATATTTTTTGACTTAATAAGATAAATATTTTCCATAAATAAAGACGTATATAATTGGATTCTTCTTTGTCAACCATTGTATTATTCCTCTCGACAGAAACAATGCTGTCATGTACTTGTAGAAAATTCCTTTTGATTAGAATTATCAAGATTTCTTAATTATACCTTAAAGGAAGTTTCATTTCTGTCATAAACAGTGATTTAAAAAAAAAAAAAAAAGTCTTTAAACTTATCATTAAACTTTTTTCTTTTTACTCGGTGTAATCGTATATTACGTGATCTATTAATTTTGAGCCTACATTTGCACCTGTGGTTAATACCTTGTGATAGTTTGATTGGAAGAAATCTTTTAGAGTGTCCTTACCAATCTTTGTATGAGATAAGAATGGGCAATTTCTGAGAATAAAAATTCACAGCATGTTTCGTTTCCAAGGATGCAACCAAATTGTTTTACCTTAACCACGCAGAATTTAAAAGATAAGAACATCTCATTTCTTTATCTGCAGAAAATCTCAAGTTCTTTTAAATATCTGTAGAATCTTCCTTTATTAAACTAATTTTCTGAAATCATTGTATATAGTCTGTCGCCAGTGCCACCCTCGGAGTCGAAGCTGCCATTGTGCAAGATTATATTCCATAGCCATTTTACAGGTATAAAATAAAATAGAAAAATCTAAATGAAATTAATTTCAAGAGATTATTATTTAATATTTAAGTATAAGCTACACGTACATGAATGTAAAATTATCTCAAGTATGCATATGAATAGATGAGGTGACGATGCTTTTTAAAACTGAAGAATTGTTTTTTAGCAAGTTTACCAGATTTTGGTGCGTTTAGAAATTTTGGTGACGTTTGTATACTGTGTTTTTACTACAGAAAATCGGGATACAATAATGTATTTTGAGTTTTGTTATGTGTGTTTTTATTATTTATAAACTAATAATGCCATTTATTAGTTTTAAGTGCCTAATATGAAGATTATTTATATGGAAATAATTCATAATTTTTTTATATTAGTGTGTTTAAAATTCCTCTAAGATACCACATATGAAGTAGTATCTCAAGGATCATTATGTTTGATCTTTATATCAAGTTAATCATTTAGTTTGCCTGAAGTAGGAAATCATGAAATATTCAGGAATTCAGCCCCAGGTCTTCTAATTACCATATCACAAGGCCTCGTGGAAAGAGTGACTTTTAATTCCTTACAAATTTGCCTTTATTTTTCCATTTTAATAATTAAATCTGATCTATATATAAAAAGTTTTAATTCATGAAAAACAGCATTACAAAAAAAAAAAAAAAAAATTAATGATATATCAAAATTGTCAAAAAGTTGTTTATCTTCCTATAGCTGAAACAATATCAAGATAGCCACAGACACCTGTCAGCTGAGACTCAGTCCAGCATTAACTTAAATATCAGGTAACACTGTATTAAATGATGAAAGTTCGTCCTTGGCGAAGAGCGCAACATGCTTTTATCTGTGGCCTCGTTTCCGAATTTCTTTCAGATAATTTGCTATTGAAGAAGGTTATGTTCTTTGGAGTGTGATGCTAAAGAAAGTAATGCTTTTTGGAGCCTGATAGTGTTAGTTTATGTTTTAGCCATTAAAGGAATATGCCATTTCTGTGCTGCTGAAGAAATTTTTAATTAAATATGTTCACTTAATTCCATGTATCTGTGAAAAGAATCATTATTCAGAAATAAATCATGCTTTATTTTATTTGTAATGAGATAAGCTCATAAATTATCCAATTTTTGAGGTATAGTGTAGCTTTTAATACAGGGAAGTTCATAAAAATTTCACTACAAAAACATGTTTTTCAGTTCCCACCATCAAGAAAGTGATGCACTTAAGGATTTTAAATTAATTCAAGAAGTATATTATTTTGTCATCAGCAAATATGCAGTTTCATATACTTTGATGGGATTGGTTAAAAGAAAGCATAGAGGCTTTAATGGGAAATTTTAAGTCATTGGCACATTCTTTCAAAATAGTGATTGTTTATAGACATTTTTATTCAATGGAAATATAAAATCATATACACAAGGAGTGCACAAACAAATAATGTTATTCAATTGAAACACAAAATCATCAATACAAGGAGTGCACTCAATAAGAGTGAAAGCACATACAAAAGTCTTTCTTATTAAATCTAATTCATCATAATGTGTAGCTTGCAAATTTGTGAAGGCTTTTAAGGTTATTGGCATTTTCCAGGAGATTACAGTGAGGATTTACAAAATATTTTTTTTTCTTATGTTTATTGGATAATGGGACAACCGAGTCGCACTGCGCTTTGAAAGACTAGCTGCCAAGAGAATCAGTTATATCAAGATTATGTAAAATTTGATTTGTCTCAGTAGCAAGTTTAAACAAGGTACTGCTGTTATCTCTTCATATAAGATTAGGCATAACAAAAGATTTTTTTTTTTTTTTATGGTCAAGGGTAATAGTGAACAATATGCATATGCCATTGGTGAGTTTCCAAAGCTGAGTGATGTGAAAGTCATGAGGCCCCATATTCAAAGATTTGCAAGATGATCATTTTTATTAGAAAGTAAACAGTGATGAAATAGTCTTTTGGAAGTATTTTATGAAGTTCTGGGAAATAATAAAGCAGAAAATTACCCATCGGTTAAGAATTACTAGATTGTTATCAAAAACTACAGGATACACAAAATGTCTTTGAATATTTATTTTCTATGTTTCCATTTGTTACTGAAAATATATGAGCTGTATACAAAGAACAATGGGAAAGATTCTATTAAAATATTGAGGAAATGAGGCAGAACTCAGCTGGATGGATGACAGCTGTGGCTACTAGTTAGAGAAAGTGATACAGAATACCAAGGGGGGGACAACTAAATGTTAAACATATTAATTTCTTATGTTTAGAATATCATCTATACTGTTTACATAGAAGTTCTAATTTTTTTGTTATTTAGCATTAGTACATTTATTGTACATGATATTACATTCATTTTATGATATAGGTCAGCGTTTTCATTTGTTATTTAGTATATTAGCTTAAGCTTCAGTATCCAATTCATTAAGAGTCTTTTAAACATAGCACTGGGATTAAAAAAGGAGATTCCCAATAATAACATTAAATTATTGTATTATTTTTTTGTACTTAATGAAAGTATTTAAGCAGATTTCATAGTTTTATAAAGAAATTACAACATAATGGGTTAATAAAATTTGAATATTTTGAGTCTTTTGCCAATATCAGCATTGTTATTGTCAGGAAAATGTTATGATTTGTGAAATTATATGTCATTTTTGTTTTCAGAAGGGTGGTTTAGTTAGTTGTTTGTTTTTGCCCTGAGGCAGAGAGTGTTTAAGTTTTTTGACTAGTGTAAGCTTTCATTTTACTGCTGCTCACATTGAAAAGATACTAATTTAGTATTATTTTCTCATTATATTGTTGCTTTTATATCTCTTTCAACTATTCTTTTATATTTCCTCTATGATTATGTTCACTTTTAATACATATCTGCCTCCCAGTATGTGATATGTTTGTAAGTTCTGAGGCACTATCTTATATTTGATATTTGTTTCTTTTATATCTGCAAAGAGTTTAAACATTTCTAGAATGAATATTTAAAATATAAAGTGTATTTTTTAAATGTTTGATCTGGCTGTCTTTTTTTTTTTTTTTTTTTTTTTTTTTTTTTTTACTATGTCTGCATCATGATTTGCTATGATAGAACAGCTTTTCATAAAACTTCAAGAGGTATTGATTTCCATTCCTGTCCCACTACTAGCCAGAGTCTATCAATCATGGTGGGGTTGCACTTAGAAAGAGCTCTTAGCACAATAGCCCATAGGTGAAATATCTGTTGACTTTCCAGGAAATATGTTGAAAAAAATGTGTATGCAATACCTTTATAAATTTTTATTTTTTCAAAGATTACAATGTTTTCATTTTTTGTATGTGTGTCTTGATGAAGTTTCCCGGTCGCGGACACTTAGCCGACAGGACACTTAACCGACACCCAGTTAGCCAACAAGACATTTAGCCGACAGGGACACTTAGCCGACAGGACATTTAGCCGACAGAGACACTTAGCCGACAGGACGTTTAACCGACAAGGACACTTAGCCTACAGGACATTTAACCGATACGGACACTTAGCCTACAGGACATTTAACCGATATGGACACTTAGCCGACAGGACATTTAGCCGACACGGACACTTAACCGACAGGTCATTAAGCCGACATGGACAGTTAGCCGACAGGACATTTAACCGACAGGACATTTTGCTGACACAGAGAGTTAGCCGTCAAGACATTTAACTACGGACACTTAACTATCAACACATTTATTCGACAGGACACAAAGCTGACAGTAATGTTTAGCTGGCACGTACCCAATAATTGTTCAAACTTACTATCAATTACAAATTTCTCGACTTCTCTGTAAGTTCAATATTTAAGTTATTTTTCACTATCAGTAAAATTTATTTTTTGATTCTTAAAGATATCATATATACGTTTAATTATCGTGTTAATTTAGCATTGTTTGATATGTATCCATGGACCTTATAAGAAATAGACCAACCCAAATGGGTTTTCTCCCTTGCCTTGGCGTATTGCCGGCTATCACTTTGACCATATCCGGAGGAGTAGGGACGACTTGCAGAAACTTAACAATAGTTGGCTATTGTAGCGCGTATAATTTTCAAGAAAAGCTGGTGATAGCACCTCATTTCGCAAATTAGAATTTTTAGATATTTTTATTTTTGAAACTGAGATTGATTTTTAAAAATTTAGCATGTTTATCAAGCGTAATTAATGTTCTAAATATTTATAAAGCTGTTACATGCTTTCAGGTCTGGATATTTTTTAGCTTTTCCTATGCTGTAAGGAAATTTGTATCTCCTTCTTTTAAAAAATAATATTTTAAATCTGAAGTAATAGAAA